TCCACGATCTGGATGAGGTGAAATCAGAAGTGAAGATGGAAATGGTAGAGGAAAAGGCGGACCAAGTTCCGAAGATGAGCTCCAAGAAAAGCCAAACACCACAAAACAATGCAATGAAGCGTCCATCAAATCAAAAGAATCAGAAGTTAAATGGGTCGAATGGTGTTGTGAAGAACCAGAAGAATGCAGCTAATTGCGGCAGAAAGAGCGAAACAAACACGGTTCATAACGGGAAGGAACCGACTGAAGGCAAGGTAAATGGAAAGCGACACATGTGTTCATTGTGCGACTACGTCACTGATTTTATAAACCATTTGATGAGACACCTGCTCCAGCACACTGGCGAACGCCCATTTCTATGCAACGTTTGCCCGAAAAGATTCACTGATAAGCGAAGCCTCCAATTGCACATGAAAGCACACGTCGAAGAATTTCTATACAGTTGTTCGAATTGCTTCCAAGGATTTCACCGCAGCGAGGAGAAGGTGGAACATGAAACCGATTGCAAGGTTCGTCGTTACGAATGTCATCTGTGCAAAGAGTTCTCTACATCGCATCAATCGAGTTTGAAAGCACACTTGCGCGTGCATACCGGTGAAAGACCATTTCAATGCGATCAATGTTCGAAGAAATTTAAAAGAGCAAATCATTTAAAGAGCCACCGTAAGACTCACACCAATCCTCGTCCGTTGAAAATCAAGTGTTCACGTTGCTTCAAGATCTTTGCACAGCGAATGGAAAAGGAAATTCATGAAGTCAATTGCAAGCAAAGCGGATACCAATGCGATCTGTGCAAGAGCCACAAAACCAATCAAAAAGCAGATCTGGATAAGCACATGCGAATCCATACTGGTGAGAAGCCATTTCGATGCGAAATATGTGCAAAATGCTTCTCGCAAAAACCAAATCTCAACAAACACAAGAAAATTCATAAGTAACTCTCTATTCCTGAAGAATCTCATGAGAAATTAACAGTAAGGGGAAGTCGTCTAAGATGGGCCATCGGGTAAGACCCCCGAAAATTTTGGCAGAAGCCATATTAACCGCAAACTGATCAGCAACATGTTAATGCACCATCGGTAGCTATGTTTTGCTAGTGCTCGGAGGAGAAAAGAGATCCTCTATGTATGATAAAACATGTTCGTTTCAAAATTTTGTGAAAAATCATTTTTAGTGCATTTTGTCTACAAGCACGGTGTGAATTCTTTTGACAATTTTCGAAAGTGAATATATGAAACGTGTTGTAAAAAGTACATATTTTCAGTGTACAAAGATAATTTTGGTGTTATTTCATCATGGAAAAATAATTTGTCGTCATGAAAAAATGGCGTGTTTTGGTTAAGATGTGCCACCCAACATTTTTTTTTGTTATGCGCTCAAACTCTATTGTTATGTTTGAAAATCGTGTTTTAAGCAATCGCGTAGCGTTTTAAAGTGATTCTATGGTATTTTTTGCCTGATGTTAGCCAATTGCGACCAGCTACACCAAGACCTTCATAAAATCGTCGTGGACGTCAGCTTATTAAAAACGCGGAAAGTACATCGCTGTAAGCACATAAATGAATAAAAATTGACAAATCTTTCGAAATATGGTGTTACCATTTCATTATTTCTCTTATTTTTCAAATTTTGTGGGGTGGCCCATCTTAGACGACAAATTTTTTTTTGTCAATTTTCAAGGTGTTCGGAAAATGTGCGATAAAATTCTTTTTTGCAATGCAAACGAATGACAATCTTAGGCAAAAACTTTCCTTTTGAGGTCCTCTTTCCAATGGTATATATAAGTCTCAAACAATATCCACATTTAAGACTTTTATAGCGGTTAATCAATGTGTGGCCCATCTTAGACGACTCTCCCTTATGAATTCAACCACTTTTATTCGTACAATTTCCGTTGAATGAAAATGAAAATAAAATCAAATTCAAAGTATCCAACATCAAAAATGGTCTTTTTATCTCGAAATTGGACGAGAAGAGATTATTTGGCTTAACTTTACTTTACAGAACTTTTTGGAATATGAATATTTTTTTGATTTTCGTTTTGCTGTGGATTGCTTATGGTCACTTCATTTCACTTCTAAGGTGCAGTGGCGTATCCAGAGTTGAATTTCGGGGGGGGGTTTCAATTATAGTCTTTTTAAAGGAAATTTTCAGAAAAAAACGCATATACAGTAGAAAAATAAAGTATCGGAATCAAAATTTTATTTTAAAAAATATATGTGGTTCTACAAATCGATTCTTCTCTTATTTCTTTCCGCAAATCTTCGAATGACTTCTTGTGTATCGATTTTTATGTCTTTGTATATACTTAATGAGGCTAAACCATTTAGACGACTCTCGCCCATTGAATTCCGCAGATATGATTTAATACGCTTAAGCGTAGAGAAAGATCACTCTGGTGTGGCAATGGTAATGGGTATCGTGAACAAAGTTTTCAACATATTATATATGTTTGGAAATATTAGATTATTGCACACGCTTGGTGACAAAATGAAATTTTTTGGTCTTTCTTCTGTTGAAACCCATTTCTGTTGCCACAACAGAGCTTCTTTCTTCACAAAATTTTCGTTGTCATATTCAATGTTTGGCCATTGCTTCAATATCATTTCAACGGTTTCATTTATTTCTTTTTCTGTCAAACAAGTAATAAAATTGGGCAAAATATTCTGTATTTTATTCAAAATATCTCTTATGTTTTAAGAACCGTTGTTCCAAATTGCATATAACATGATCAAGATGGAAATGGACAATCTATAATACTCTTCGGCAGAAGTGCACGCATAGTTATCTCGATTGCATTTCTGGCTTACTACTCTTGGTATTGTGATGTTTGCACCGATTTCGCTAGCCATTTTTTCAGCGACGTCAAACAAATCATGAAATCGGTCCTCTGCATTTTGACGCATATTTTTCAATATATCGCTTAAATTGTTTGCCATTTCGATGACAGATGCGAGTTCTTCATTCTTTGATTGTAAAGAAACTGACAATGGATGAATTAGGGCGAAATTTTCATTTATAACCACCATTGAAATAATAAATTTACCACATTTCATAGATTGTTGAAAAATGAACGCTTTTTTAGATGATTCTTTATTACCAGTTATTTCAATGTTTTCTAATGCCAAAAAAAATGGGAAGAACATATCTTTAAATGTTATAATCACATCATGTCGTTCAACCCATCGCATTTCGCAATATTTTTTCAACCGTAATTTCGTAGTTTCGCTTTGTAATTCATCGATTGCATCGTTCAAATTTGTTTGGCGTTTTGCCGAAATGCGGAAAAAATTGATTACCTCTTTAATGGTTCCGAGACAGTTCTGAATATTTATAATTTTGCATGAATCAGCGATCGCCAAATTTAGAGAATGGTTTGCACAATGTACATACATTGCTTGAGGAAATTTTTCGTGAACTATTGCGGAACAACCATTCCATAAACGACAAATTCGATGAATCCAACAAAAAAAATATTGGTGCCCGACGACCGTTTTATAAACATAATATCTTTGTTTATTGAAATCAATTTGCCTCTACTGCTTAAATCAGTCTACTTATAGTAACGTATGACACATTTGTGGAAGTGTTGTTATGCCGAATAAAGGTGTCAAAAGGACGGACAGCAGACGGACATTTCGTGTCCGTCCGTCCGTTTTGGGGTTCAAGGACGGACATTTCATTTTGTCCGTCCGTTTAGAATTCAAGGACGGACAATTTCAT